CTTAGTTATTATATATATATATATATATATATATATATATATATATATATATATATATATATATATATATATATATATAAAAACAGCAAAAAAATCGCGCTTTATGTCTACTGCGAACATAGATTGTCGATTTAATGTATTTTATTTTTTTAATTAAAAAAACAAAAAATAATTAAAATCAAGATTAAAATTGATCTACTTGATAGAAATTAATAGTAGATTTTTAAATGTGAAGCAGCAACTTTGATGCGCGAGAAATCACGTGACCTTGCAGACGACCTCTTGATTTGACATTAACATCGTTCGTTGTCTGGTCCTGTTTCACAATACGTTCAAGTTGTTGACGAACGAATTGTTCAAGTTGATTATTGTCACTGTTTCATATTTATCTCGGGTGGACTTGGTTTAGAATTGTTTAAGTTTTGTTGAGGATTCTGGATTGACTCGAGGCATCGTCGAAAATCCCAATAGATATGATACGAACCACATCAAGTCTACGTAATGGATTGGCACGCGCGATCATTTATGGTTCCATACGAAACAATGTGAGATCCATAATCGTCCGATGTCTTCATAGAAAACATCATCAGAGGTATCACGTCCGCTACCTGGAGTCATCCTTGCACTCGACTCTTTTCACAGATGTTTGAAATTACGCGATTGGGGCCAATCTTTAAGGTTATTTTGCATTAACTCCAACGTGGTCTAAACATAAACGATCTTAGTTTTTAAGGCGCAATTCGCGTGATTTAATCTCTTGTCAGGATAATTAGACAGTCGAAAAACTTACATAACCATCGTCCATTATATAAAAAAATATGACAGCGTTAGGTGTATTCTTTGTAATTAAATTAGTGTATACTCGTAACTTGAAATAAATATGTATAATGAAGCTTGACGGAAAAAACAGAAAGAAAGTTCTAAATTCTGCATTCCAGTGCAGAGAACAAGCCTCTTGATTCTCTCGGTACTTCAGGTTTCAGCTTCATGGTACTTTGCGTTTCATCTTGACACCATCTTGGCAGCAACAGTTCAGGTTTTATGCAGATTTTCCAGATCATATTAAGGTTCCGCTTCCAGCATTATCTCCTACTATGGAAACAGGAACGATAATTAGTTGGCAAAAGAAAGAAGGTAATACTAGAATAATACTATCCATTGATATTATGATAAATTATAATATAATGGATATAGAACTTTTTTATAAAAATATAAAATTATTTGTTAAACATATTGACCAACTTTTTATATTTGCTCTGCTAGGTGACAAATTGAATGAAGGTGATTTATTAGCAGAGATCGAAACAGATAAAGCCACTATGGCGTTTGAAACTCCTGAGGAAGGTTATTTAGCTAAGATTTTGATACCTGCAGGGACAAAGAACGTACCTATAGGCAAACTAGTTTGCATTATTGTACAAGATGAATCCAATATAGCTGCATTTAAAGACTTTAAAGATGACACAGTAGCTGTACCTTCTGTGCCAGTAACTCCTGCAGTACCTACACTACCACCGACACCCACAATTTCACCAACTGTACCAACTGTACCAACTGTACCAACGGCAAAAGTTCCTTCCATTATGCCACCTGAAGAAAGAATATATGCTAGTCCATTAGCGAGAAGATTAGCAGCTGAGAAAGGACTTAATTTACAGGTGCCACTTAAGATTGCTGACTTATAAATCAATTGAAAGAATGGAGGCAAGTACGAACCAATTTGCCTCTTCATTTACCTCCGTTCTTTTAATTCGCTTTCTATAATATTTTTAATTATTAATTTTTAATTTATTTATGTTAATACTAAATTATGTTCTTCTGTGCATTTATTTTTATAAGAATATAAGTATAAACATACTTTTTATTTATTCAAGCTATTCCTTATAGGATCTAAAAGGGACAGGATTATATGGCTCTATAACATCCAAAGATTTAGAACATGTTGCAGTACAACCAAGGGTGACACCAAAGGTGACACCTACAGTTGCACCAACTGGGATAGATATTCCTGTATCGAATATACGTGCAATTATTGCTAAACGTTTGTTAGAGAGCAAACAAACAATTCCGCATTATTACCTCTCAGTAGATATAAAAATGGATGCTGCATTGGCGATGCGAGAGCAGTTTAATAAATTATTAGAAAAAGACAAGATAAGGTTGAGTGTAAACGACATTATTATCAAAGGAATGGCAATGGCTTGTAAAAAAGTACCAGAAGGCAACAGCGCTTGGCTAGGAAATGTAATTCGACAGTGAGTACATTATATTTGTTGTTGCAAAAACAGTAACATATTTGATCTATTTATATATTACATATTTCGATATCTACAAAATATCTTTTTAGATATAATAATGTGGATGTTAGTGTAGCAGTAAGTACAGCTACTGGTTTGATTACGCCTATAGTGTTCAATGCTGACACAAAGGGTATAGTTCAAATCAGTAAAGATGTAAAGGTCTTAGCTACAAAGGCAAGAGAAGGAAAATTACAACCGCATGAATTTCAAGGAGGAACTATTACTGTATCTAATTTGGGAATGTTTGGAGTTAAAAACTTTTCTGCTATAATAAATCCTCCACAGTCTATCATTCTTGCTATAGGCACCACGGAGACTAAATTGATACCTGCCAAAAATGAAAAGGTAGTCATAATATTTCGTTTCTAGACATATTTAATTTATATATATATATATATATATATATATATATATATATATATATATATAGTA